AAAAAAAGGCCTGCTGATGAAGAGATAGAAAGAAGAAAGGAGGAGATGATGGGAGTGGGAGGGGTTATCACTGCCGGTGTGAGGATGGTAAGGCGGGATTTGGAGGGTCAGGAGGAGGGACGAAACCCGCCCGCCCCCCTCCGGCCCGCACGTCTCCTTTTCCCAGTGAGCTGAGGTCAAATCCAGGAATGTCAGCAGGTGGATCAACCTTCTCCATGCGTCCATCTCTCACTTTCTCAGCTGTCAGTCCTGTCGCTTCTCTCTGCACGTCACTGGAGGTCTCGGTCTTCGAGGTACCGGTACTCAAACGTGAAGCCCTCCTTCTTCCGCTGGCCCCATTTCTCATAGTCAAAGTAAATGTATGTTCCCTAAAACAAGCAAAGAAAACACTAAGTTTGAAGACAAAGAGGAAGGCGGTCAACGCACGACTAAATGTTAGCAGAAACATCCAGATCGTTAACATTTTTAAACTCTGCGGCTGAACACACAGATGTGATTCTCACCTGCTCAAACTCATCAGTGATGGTCTTGGGTTCTTCGTGCCTCTGAAACCACATCATGTACTTGGTGTGGAACCTCCACGACTGCTTCTTCAGGGCTTTGGCTGCCAGATACTGGGCCTTAGTGCCCTGCAGAGAGGGAGAGAGGAGAAGACGAGTGCTGAGAAATGAGACTAAATTAGGAGCACGTTTTGGCTCTGAGGAGAAAGAAATCCTCAATTTTACTTGTAATATGATTCATAAATACCTCATGAGCCTAAATTAAATCTGACTTTAGTGTAATCAATTTAGTCTTGACCCTGGACTCCCTAACAGGCCCTTCTTTCATTTAAACTAATCATCTTCATCCTCCAAATTCCGATTCAGCAGATCCAATTATAACCTAAAACAGTCTCACAGAAAGAGTTTGCTGTAAACAACATTTAAGCAGAAACGGACCAACACAGCTTACCTCCAGGTAGTAAAAGATGAAGAAGAGGGTCTCTGTGGAAAGCCTCTGGTAAAACTCTACAGTGTC